GACTGTTGACGATAAACAAACATCCACATTTAATGTCGTAGAAAAAAACAGTAGGCACCTACTATATAAATAGAAGAAATGATCTCTGTTTAAACGACAAACAACTATCCACCATTCTCTATGCACCAACAAATGACAATTCTCAATGAATATGAATGAACAAGAATCGAAACAAAATATTTCCAAACTAACAATGGATACCAATCCAAATACAACAATCTCATCGACTACCATGCAATCAAGACGGTACATCAGTCAAAATTATTTGATCCTTTGGGTCGATGAAAACATTGATCCAGCAAATAAAGATTACCAAAATACACTCGAACAACTGCAAAGCATAGCTAACGAAGTCTATACCTTTACACAATGTGATGAATGTGTTGACTTCCTCACTGAAGTTGATGATCGAAAAGCATTTCTCATTGTACCGAGTACTATGGGCCAACAAATGGTACCCTTCATTCATGATATTCCTCAACTTGATAGCATCTATATCGACTGCAGTAGCAAAGCTTCACAAGAATATTGGAGTAGTCATTGGAAAAAAGTTAAGGGTCCATACACAGAAATGCCGCTTATCTGCGATGCATTGCAAATAGCTGTCAAGCAATGCAACAAAGATGACATATCTGTAAGCATTATCAGTGTTAATGAAGAAGATTCTAGCAAAGATCTCAATCAGCTTGAACCCTCTTTCATGTACTCCCAAATATTCAAGGAAATTCTCCTCGATATGGAACATGGTGAACAAGCCAAGAAGGATTTTATTCAGTTTTGGCGAAACGAATATAGCAATAACAAAGCTAAAGCAAAAGATATCGCTGAGTTCGAACTTCAATATAGTCCAGAATCATCAATTTGGTGGTACAGTCGTGAGTGTTTTCTTTACGAGATGCTCAACTGGTCTCTTCGAACGCTCGATGGCGAGACAATTATAAAAATGGGTTTTTTTCTTGCTGATTTGCATCGACAAATTGATAGTTTACACAAACAACAGGTCAGTCTTTATCATGGAAAGATCTTTGAAGTTTTTCGTGGACAAGGATTATCCACAGTCGACTTCGACAAACTCAAGAAGAACAAAGGTGGACTTATTTCCTTCAATAATTTTTTATCCACCAGTACAGATCGAGCTATCTCTCTCGGTTTTGCCAGAGGTGTCAAAGGAAAACCCGGTATGGCGGGTATTCTATTTCAAATGTCGATAGATCCGACCATTTTATCCAGTCCATTTGCCTCTATCTGGGGACTGAGTTATTTTGCTGAAGAAAATGAAATCCTCTTTTCCATGCACACCGTTTTTCGAATTGGTGAAATTCGAAAACTTGACAATGAAAGTTCACTTTATCAAGTAGATCTTAAACTGACCTCGGATGAAGATCAACAACTGCGTCAACTCACAGAAAGCATACTAGGAGAAGATTCACATCAGCCATGTTGGGGACGATTGGCTACATTACTATCAAAAATAGGACAATATAACAAGGCCGAGAAATTGTATATTACACTACTCGAACAAATATCCAACGACGATACTAGAGCCACAATTTACAACAATCTTGCAGTGCTGAAAGACGATCAAGGATTATACGACGAAGCAGCATCATTTCACGAAAAATCCCTCGAGATGAGGCTAAAAACTCTTCCAGAAGATCATCCTTCATTAGCTACTTCCTACAACAACATCGGTGGAGTGTATGACAACATGGGTGACTACTCGAAAGCACTTGAATTTTACGAAAAAGCATTTAAAATCTGCGAAAAAGCTCTGCCTCCGAATCATCCCAATTTGGCTAGTTCCTACAACAACATCGCTGGAGTGTATCACAACATGGGTGACTACTCGAAAGCACTTGACTTTTCCGAAAAAGCACTTAAAATAAGAGAAAAAGCTCTGCCTTCGAATCATCCCGATTTGGCTACTTCCTACAGCAACATCGGTGAAGTGTATAACAAGATGAGTGACTACTCGAAAGCACTTGAATTTTACGAAAAAGCACTTAAAATAAGAGAAAAAGCTCTGCCTCCGAATCATCCCGATTTGGCTACTACCTACAACAACATTGGTTTGGTGTATGACAACATGAGTAACTACTCGAAAGCACTTGAATTTTATGAAAAAGCACTTAAAATAAGAGAAAAAGCTCTGCCTCCGAATCATTCCAATTTGGCTACTACCTACAACAACATCGGTGTAGTGTATAACAACATGGGTGACCACTCGAAAGCACTTGAATTTTACGAAAAAGCACTTAAAATAAGAGAAAAAGCTCTGCCTCCGAATGATCCCGATTTGGCTACTTCCTACAACAGCATCGGTGTAGTGTATAACAACATGGGTGACTACTCGAAAGCACTTGAATTTTACGAAAAAGCACTTAAAATAAGAGAAAAAGCTCTGCCTCCGAATGATCCGTCACTGGCTACTCCCTACAACAACATTGGTGTAGTGTATAAAAACATGGGTGACGACTCGAAAGCACTTGAATTTTACGAAAAAGCACTTAAAATAAGAGAAAAAGCTCTGCCTCCGAATGATCCCGATTTGGCTACTTCCTACAACAACATCGCTGGAGTGTATAACGCCATGGGTGACCACTCGAAAGCACTTGAATTTTACGAAAAAGCACTTAAAATATCCGAAAAAGCTCTGCCTCCGAATCATCCCAATTTGGCTAGTTCCTACAACAACATCGGTGGAGTGTATAACAACATGGGTGACTACTCAATAGCACTTGAGTTTTACGAAAAATCACATCAAATCTTCGAAAAAGCTCTGCCTTCGAATCACCCTCATTTGGCTAGTTCCTACAACAACGTCGGTCTCGTGTATAAGAACATGGGTGACTACTCGGAAGCACTTGAATTTTACGAAAAAGCACTGAAAATCTGCGAAAAAGCTCTGCCTCCGAATCATCCCAATTTGGCTACCTCCTACAACAACATCGCTGGAGTGTATCACAACATGGGTGACTACTCGAAAGCACTTGAATTTTACGAAAAATCACTTAAAATATCCGAAAAAGCTCTGCCTTCGAATCATCCCTCACTGACTACTTCCTACAACAACATTGGTACTGCATATTTCGGCAAAGGAGACTACTCAAAAGCACTCTCATTCTTAGAAAAGGCACTTTCTATCTTGCAAAAATCACTTCCACCTAACCATCCTAATATTAAAACAGTCAAAAACTCAATTGACTATGTAAAAAAGAAAATGTAACTGTAATTTTTTCTTTTTGGCTTGCTCAATAAATTTATTCACATTGCTAATCGTTTCGATTTTTCTCGGCTCATTTTGGCTTATTCGTGCGCGCGCGTCAAGGAAGAGATCCCTTGTCAATCCCATAGGTACCACAGACGGACCACGCCGGACTGGTATGGCAATGGCCAAAGGTATGCCGTATGAACGGTAGGGACCAACGACTCATAGAGGCCTTCCCTAGTACTACACTGCTTCGCTATGGCAAGAAAGTTCCTCTACCTATTGAGTCAGACAACATAGCTCTCTGACCCACACTGATAACATCTATAACTCAACTCATCTCATCTCAAACGTACTCATACTTATACTCATAATGACTGACAGTGTTTATATTCTCTCAAAATATGTTATCTCAACTTAACTCAGCATGTAAAAAAATTGTTTTTGTCCTACCTCTCAATATTATATCGTATCGTAGCTCATCTAAAGAAGAAAAGTATAATTTTAAATATAGAATGAATTAATTTACCTCAAATATAATACTATATATCATTATCATTGTAAATAATATCATAATAGTAATTAGCCCGGGTATATAAATACATTGTAATGATACAACTCGAGTGTATTGTTTCATGATGATGTATTCATGTTTTTATACACCCTCAGGTTAATTGATCGATGCTCATGATTTTGATTGATTTTCTTATTAATCATTCAACACATAACACTACATAATTGATTTGATGATCAATTTTTAGGTAGTGATATGTGTATTTTTTTTCTTCTCGTCTGACGTACATTAATATTATATCATCGTCGGCGAAAAAAAATTTTTATCTTATATATACACTGTGTGGGTCGAACACTTATATTTAGAGAAATTAACGATGAGAACAAAACCTTTAATTATACTTCAAAATTTATCTGTAATATTTTATATATGTGTTTTTTTTTATCATACAATGATGAATTCATTCGGTTAAATTGAAGATTAAATTTGAAAATAATAGTTTTTTTCTTTTTAGACTCCTCTATTCTGAATGATAAATGAAAATAATTTTTTTTAATATTCTTTTATTTTTCATTTATTTTTCTTTCATCTTATGTCATAGGATTTTTATTTTTAAAATATCGTCTTCAAAATGATTAAAAAAAAATTGACGTCTCTTTATACATGTGAGAGCAATCTAGAATCATTGATCCGACGCTGGAGTTCGGTGGGAAGACAGACTTTTCTATTATACAAATATGTACAAATAAATTGAAATTAAATAAAAGGAAATGTGAAGTGATATCATCACTTATTGTTTTTGTTTTCCTTTTATACAAAATTTATGAAACTTTTATTTTAACATAGTGAATCTTGATGCATAAATTTTGCAAAAAAATTATCAAAAGCTAAAAGATTGACACATCTAGAGCATTTATTTCTAAAACATATACAACAAACTATGAGTTATAGTGTTATACAATGAAAAAAGTTAATCATTTCGTGATAAGTAAATGCTCATCTACATGCTTCAACAGTCATGAATTCATCTCAAAATAGTTTCCTGATGATGCAGTATATCATATTTCTGCTCTTTAAACACTTTAACGTAATTGATTCATGTCTTGTTGTTTTCGTTATCAGTTTGCCTTAATTGAATGATGAAAATAATTGTTTTGCTTGTTAGAGACCCTTCAAAGTAGATCTTGTTGATAAAATCGATTCGAATAGTTGAATCATTCATGAATGTTTTAATATTCGTGAATGAAGGAGGTAACTACTTCTAGTTACCTGACAAAGCACTATCTATGAAGTAATGTCATTTGAATAGAATGAAATGAAGTATTTTCTGAGCTTTAATAGGGATCAAACTAAGAGACAATAATGATAATAGTACAACATTTGATGAATATATTCATGTATTTCTCATTATGTTTCTCTCGTATAAAAATTATTCGACAGATATAACAATTCCACTATTTTGTTTTCATAGTATTTAATTTTTTTATAAAAATTCGATGTTGTTTTTTTTTTTTGATTACATGTGAAGAAAGAGGCATTACATGAAAAAGAAAACATACATTCTTCAAATATAGTTTTATTTTAACATGTATTTTGAACTACATGTTTTCTATTGATAATAATTAGAAAAAAAGAATTTTATTCTCGTAGTACGTCAATTTCGTTCATTGAAAAATATTTCTGAATTTTTATAAATAAAATTATGTATAGATTAAATATTTGAGTCTGTAAAAAAAATCTTAGTAGTAATAACAAATAAATTAATGAATCACATATTTTTTTTCTTATTATACATATATAAATGGTTTTTTTTATAATGCTAGAAAGTGTAAGTGAATCAATGGAATATGAACGAGATTTAAACAAAAATTGCAAACCTCCTTCGATTAAATGATATTGTCCTTATAATTTTTATGAAAAATTTCTACTAATAAAAAAGCTTTTAATAAAAGATTTATATATGGATGTTTTTTTAATATTAATCTCTTTATATATCTTGTTGAGTCTGAGACTGCACTGTTTTTCTTCAATATGAATATAGAAAGTTCACTAGCAACAAAAATAAAAGAAGATTACGATAAACATTTTATTCATTTCATAAAATTGATCAATTCACAGCTAAATCAGTTGTAGTAATCAGTTTGAATAAAAGATTCTAGTTACTTTGCTTTTTACTTTGGAAACGGAAACAATGTTTGATCTTTTTACTGTTACAAAAAAAAAATAATTAAAAAAGTTCGTTTACAGAAAAAAAAATACACTTCAATTAGAGATTTTAAACTTGTAATTTTATATAAACATGACCTGATAAATATTGATGAACGTTATGCATGTAATTTTATTTTGAGAGCAAATAGAATGAATCATTTATTGCTTCTTTGTCGTAAATTGTTAGTTGATACTTAAATTCTTTAAAAATTTTCATTAAAACATTATTTAGTGTCGATCGATAGTAAGTCATTTATGTTTCAATCTATCCGTTTGAATTATTTTATTTAGTTTGAATTTCATAGTAAAAAAAACCAAACAAACTTACAATTTTTTTTCTTTTACTTTTCTACTAATATTTTTGTTTATTAATGAGAATTTTAATAAAAATTTCAATAGATAAATCAAATAGATACATTACATTTATATCAATTAATACTGTACAGTTTTTATCATTTATATAAGCCGATTCAATTATGTATTATTGAAAGGTTTCACAGAAGAATAATTTTAATTTTGAAATAAATCTGTCTTGATCTTCCATAAACTTTTCTTTTTGTATAGCTTAAATTGTAAATGTCTTTCTCTGCTGAAACTTACACAGCTCGTATAATAACAAAATTCATTACTCTTATTTTCTTCGTTCTGTTGTATAACAATTATATTTTGATTTACGTAATGTATTAACATATGAGCACAGGTGATGTTGTCGAACGTTGAGATCAAGTTCATCATTCTCTTGAAATAAGCGTTTACGGAGATTATTGATATTGAAGGACCGAACATATTTATACGTTCTATCTCACTCACTACTCCTATAAATACTCAACATTTTCATGAGCAATATATTAATATAATAAGTTTAGAGTATTTGTGATAAGTGTTAGAATAATGCATCAAAGGTATGAGATTCCTTCGAAACACTTCAAAAAAGACAAATTTCCAAGTGATAAAACAATTATAAAAATAGGTAAGAATCTATTCGAAAGCTTTTTTTTCTATAAAAGTCAAAAATGAATATATTGATAACTATTCTTAAATGACATTGGAAATAATTCATCATTTTACATCATTGAAAAAAATATTTTTTGTTTCATCGAAATAGTTTCGTTATTGATCTGAATTAGATTTACTTTAATAAAAAAAATATAGTAATGTATTGAAATTTTATCTTCACATATTATTTATTGAAACGTTTCTGAATGGAAACAATAGGATATTCTAGATTTTTTTTTCTCCGTAATTTAATTTGACACATTAAGTATATCAAATAGACCACAAAGTAAGACAGAATACAAGTAGTAATGAGTAAATTATGAGCTAAATTGTGGACTATTGGTATCTATGAAAAGAAGCTCATCTACATGCACATCTTCATTATTCTATTGTCTTAATCTTTGGATTGAATCGAATTGATATACTAAACTTGCAATATAATCTTTACTGAATAGAGTTCGAGAACGAAAACGACAGCATCATTGCAATTTTAATCATACAACTTTCAGCATCAGTCAAAACTTCTTTACAAATGTAACTCTAAAAACTCTATCTAGACATGATATTCATTCTCTCTGAGTTTTGTTAAACCAGTCGTTATCTTTATTGTCAACAGATAGCGAAATAAAAAGAAATTTATTACAAGATAAGTTCATAAATAGTGTAATGCCTTGTTTTCTTTTTATAATATCTGAGATTTCTCTTGTCTTCACCTTATTTTGCCATAAGTATTTCTATACATAGAAACGGGTTAATATACATTATTGTTTAAAAATGTATAATGAATTTCTATATAAGTCGGTTAATTGTTTCGGTCAATTTAGAGTATAAGATCGTGTGGAGACGATAAAAGCATAGGTAAAAGGTTATTATTGAAGTTCTTCTACTATTCTTGATGAAACTATTATTATTAACAAGATACACAAAATGTTATGAGTCTAACTTTTAATCATCGCAACATACAAACGCGATTTCAAATTATATGTAGTGAATGGACCACAAAATAATACTATACAACAATATCTTTTTACTTATTAATTCTATGCTTATTTCTTTAAAAATAAAAAAAATATTCAGAATTCAATTGGAGTTGTATTCATGAAATGTTTTATTAATGCATCAAACCATATAATTCAGTAAGATTCATATTAGTTTTTATTATTGAATAGAGACTTAAGTTAGTTTAAATTAACAAATCAAAGAGTACAACATTTAACTTATATGCTATTCAAAATAGATTAACACATTCTTTTATCTTTCTGATAACAAAATTTCATTTTATTTGTTGTATTTCTAATAC